AAGGTGACTAAGACAACGTTGTATTTGTTGAACTTTGCTAACCATTGGTAGGCAGAATAGGTGAAGAAAGAGATATAGAAGAAGGACTGGAAATGGGTGCTGATAATGAAACACTGGTAGGGAGTAAAGGAGTAGGCATTTTGAACAAAGTTTCATCAGTAAATGAGGAATAATAAGCATTGTTTCTGGAATTGAAATTGTGTCAGTGGCAAAAGGGAACCTGGTTTCATCAAATTTTACACTCTGACATATGTAAATTTTTCCTTTAGGATCCATGCATTTATACCATTTGTGATGCATGTTGTACCCAACAAAAACACATGTTGTAGTATGGAAATCAAATTTGTGAGAGTTGTAAGGTCTTAGGAAAGAATAGGTAGCACATTCAAAGACTTTAGTGTGGTTATATGCTGGAATTTGTTTGAAGAGAACTTGAAATGGAGAAAAACCAAACAAGACAGGTGTGGGTAGCCTATTTGTGAGGTAGGAGGTAGTTTGAAAGGAAAACCACCAGTATTTCAAAGGCATACTAACTTGAGCAAGAAGGGTTAGGCCTTGTTCGACTATTTGTCTATGTTTCCTTTCAACTCGTCCATTTTGTTTACGAGTGTAGGGACATGAATGCCTAAAAATAATGCCATGATCAAGAAAATATGAGCCCAACTTCTATATTCAAACACCCCCCAACCCACCCCCCCCCCCCCCCCCTTTTCCCTCCCTTCCCTCCCTCAAATCTATTTGAACATATTAGAATAGTATTGAACTATTTTTCTGCCATAACATGAAACAGTTTGAATATGAGTTGTGTTTCAGATTTGTTTTTCAAAGGGAAAACCCAAATGAATCTGTTGTAGTTAGATGTAGGAACTGAATGTAGTATTTGAAGCCTTTAGGGGATGGGATAGGAGATGGACCTCAGAGGTCTGAGTGAATTAATTCTAAAGGTTGAGAGGCTCTTGAATATGTCCTAGGAAAGGTGGATTGATGTAGCTTGCCGAATTGGCATGCTGAGCAGAAGTCAAAATTGTGTGATGTATTTGTAAAAGATGTAAGATTTTGACAAGAACTGATGCATTGGGATGACCAAATGTGTGTGCCATAGCATTCCACTAGTTTTAGTAGCAGAGAAGGATTGAACATTTTTATTATTATCAACATCAGCAGTGTTACAAGGAGAAACAAGTGTAGGAAAATTTGAAAACACATCATTATTCTTAGGCACACAACCAATATTGACATTATTTTTAGTACAATCTTTTAGTACTGAAGAAAACAAAGGCTTTATGGATTGTGATGGACTAGGAAGTTGAGCTGAAGAATGAAAAACAAAGACATTGGATTGAGGAAAATCAGCAGGCAAGTTAGACTGTGGAGTGATTGGAGTTGGAAGTTGATAAAGACCATCTTTAAGCCTTCCTTGAAGAAGAACCACTTTGGATTGTTTGTCCTTAACAACACAATGGTCAGCCAAAAGTTCAACAATTACATTGTTGTCTCTAGTAAATTTAGATATACTGAGCAGATTTTTGGTAATATGGGGAACACATAAGACATTTTTAAGATAAAGAGACCTAGAATGACATGGTAAAGAGGTATAGCCAGTGTGAGATATAGTAAGAAGCTCACCATTCCTAACCTGAAGCTATTCGCTGCCTGAATCCATATACCAGGAGGCATCCTAGACAATGAAAGGTACTGCAACATAATTGGCAGTAGGATTAGCATAATGTGATGGCTGATTTTGTGACAAAATCACCTGATTATGAGCATTTGATGATGTGTTAGGATCATGAATCATTTGAGGCTATCCCGAGACTGCCGAATTAGATCCTGCTAGAGGACTGACTTGATTGACTTGAGCAGAGTTCTGACCTCCAGAGTTATTGTAAAATGATGCTCTAGAATGACCAATTGAGGTAGACATTGGACTTGAGTTGAATCCAGCTAGTGAAGTCATTAATCAGGATTGTAAGGAGGCTGGTGGGAATTTGGAGAGGAGTACAACAATCTTGAAAAACCAACTGGTGGTTTGGTGGAGTAACCAGGAGCAAAATTAGATCGCATCATGGAGTTGTTTCCTCCGATAAAGCTTATATCGAATCTATGATAATAATTTAGAGCTAAATGCCCTGTTTTACCGCAGACTTGGCAGATAAGCTTGCCTCTTCCAACTCCTCATCCTCTTCCTCTATTTCCAGCAAATTGAGGAGAGTAAAAGGTAGGTTGTGGTGCTGGATTTGCAAACTGACTTGGTACATCATTCACAAACTGATTTTGTGCTGAATTCACAAACTGGCTAGAAGCTGGATGTACAAGTTGGCTGTGGCTAAGTCTAGAAATGGGGTTGTGTTGTGAAAAACCAGAAGATTGCATGGTTGAAGACGGAGGTTGTTCGCTGTGATATTTCTTGTTATTATCACCAGTTGTCAAGTTTACAAAATGAACAGAACCTCCTTGAAATTCAGTATTTACGAGTGAGTTCAATCTAAAATTGGCTCTTTCTAATCTCAGTTCATATTTCTATAAAATAACTTGTGCTTCTTGGACAGACAAAGATCAATTCTGGATTCTAACCTTGTGGTGATATTTACTACGGTAGCGTCATACTCAGAACCGAGGTCATCAAGTATGTAGTTCAATAGCTCTTCATCAGTAACTAATGTTCTACTAGAATTCAGTATTTCAGCAAAGTTTTTCATTTTCATGAAGTAATCATGAATGCTTAAATTGTCCTTTCTACTGTTTTGCAACAAATTCTTAATATGGAGCGTTTTAGTTCTTGACTCAGTAAGGAACTCCTTTTCTAATGCAATCCACATATCGGAAGAAAATTGACATTTCGATTCAATTGTAAACATAGACTCAGATATTGAACTAAGAAGCTAACTTACTAGAAGTTTATCTGTCTTTTTCCACTGATTATACTCTGGATTAGGTTTCTTTTCTGCAATTTCTATTGATCCTTCACTTTGAACTTTGATGAAGGGAGCTGGGCAAGATATCAGACCAATGAGATGCTCTTCTAGGTCGTGTGAACCCATGACAAACAGAATCTGTGATTTCCAAAATCTGTAATTATCCCTAGTTAGTTTAGGAGATATTACAGGTAGAGTAGAAGACACCATTGTTTGGGAAATTGCAGAATTGATGGTTTTAGAGGTTATTTTGTGATCTGAATTGTGTTGATTGGGAGAAAATTGAGAGAAATCAACCATTTGTGATGTTTGTCAAGCAGCTCTGATACCATGTGAGTTGTTCAGCTCTGGAACAGAGAGAAAACATACAAGAGGAAGCAAGAATTCCTTATTGATTTGCTTAAAACAAAATGGTATAGTAAATGCATGGCACTTTTATAGTGCTGAGATAACAGTAACTAACTGTTAAAACAAATTGAAAGTAAACGGCAGATTGACTAACTCAACTCTCTCTAATTCTTTACTAACAACCAATGACACAATATGCTTAGCAATTGTTATGTCTAAATATAATTGATTTATGTGATTACAATAAAGCTATTTACAAACTATTTAAACAATCACTAAACATACCCGCGCAACGCGTGGGCCTTCCATCTTGTTAGAGATAAGTTAAAGATTTTAAGTGAATGTAGAGATAGCTTTTATTGTAGATTGAAACAAGCAAATTAATATAGGTTTTCAGCCTATCATATTGGTGAGAGTATTTACAGTTCAACCTATTATATTAGTGAAAGCTTAGTGATAGAAGATGAAATTTTAGGAAATATTATCGTACCACGATGTTATCACATTAATGGTACCACTAGAGGTGGGCAAGGCCCAGGCCCTCAAGGACTGGTCCTTGAAAGACTGGGCCCAAATTGGTCGGGATCGGGCCTATGACTTTTGTTAGGTCCGAACTGGTCCCAAGACTAGTCCTATGGGCAATATCCTGTGAGACAATTGCAATTTCGAGTGGCCAAGTCTGAATGGGGTCTCAATCTTTCTGAGATGATAGAATCCCTTTCTTTTCTAGCAATATGTGGTCCTTTCCATTAAGAAAAATGATACAGTTACCAAAAAATTGATATCAAATTCATGCACCGACAGACGTGGCATTATTTTATTGCATTTTCATATTCCATTATTAAATTTTCATTAAATCACGCACATACCTGTTTCGATTCCACTAAGGTCAATCGGATCTCTTTAATTGGTGCAAATTTTTGTATCAACAGAAACTATATTATCATAATTAAAATTCATTTGAAGAGATGGAAGATGGAATCAAACAAAAGAAATATAACGGATCGTTCTTGCTTAGGGCTTGCTTTAAGAAATTAATTTTTGTAAGGAATCAAGAAGAGGCAAAGAGAAGCAGTTCAAGGCAAAGAGACCGCCAGACTATGCCAAAGAGAAAAGAAAAGAAGAGAGAAGAATTTATGTTTATTTTTCAATATATTGTAAGCTTGTACAATGGCTTTTAGTAGGGATCAATAGAAATCGCTTATGCAAAAAGACGATATATACCTTGTTATCCATATTTATATCATCCATATGTTTCATGCATATAAATATAATAGTTGCAGCCTCGTTTAGTTTAATTTGTGGAGTTATGTTTTCGACACATATCCGCTGTCAAACTCAGATTTTCTTTTATTATAAATGATGGAGTTAAGGTTAAGTGGTTAACAAAGAAGTTTAGAAGGAAAATTCTTAAAGAAGATTAATTTCAGAATAAAATAGAAAATGTTTATAAAATAATTTTTTTAAATGATTTTAATTATTGGGCATGAAAAACAAAAATTAGCGTGGCTTAAATAGCACCACTCTTGGGTTAAATAAAATGAGTTCAAACCCCCCGCTTGCAGCGTCAACATGGATTGGAGTGTCCCGTCTACAAAAACAGTTTCTAAAATCAGGTAATGAATAATTGTAAATTGGCATATTAATAATAAATAATTACCCAGTTTGTTTGCTCTTCTCAGTCAAGAGATCATTCAAAAACTTAACATCTTCAAATTCTCCATTGACAGTGGAACCAAGAATAGCAGCAACACAAATAGTGTTCTCATCTACCATTTCAACTGCTTTTTGAGGGTCCATTACATAGTATCCACCTCTTAGCTTCACCTCCTTCAGCTCCACCTCAAAGTACCTTCCAAATTTCTCCCAGCACACCTAACGAAAGATATTTTATGTTATAACTAATTAATGATAATTCATAAATTGGATGATGAATAATTACCTGAACATTGTGCTCAAACCTGGACACACATGTCAAAATATGCTCCCATGCCTCCTGTAAATAATTTCCATCTTCATCTGCAATTGTGACTATTGCCTGTGGACAATGTAAAATATCAAATGCAGCATCAGAATGAAGTTCAATGAATTATCCAGAGATGACAGATATACAGGTGTCATTGAAAGAGAAGTGAACTCAGATATATTAAAAAACAACAATAATGATATCATTTCAAAGAGTCAGATATACCATTAAGTTATTGAATTTGAATACACAAAATAAACTAAATATTAAAAATCAAACTTGACCTTATTTTCTTTGCATCAAGAAACCCACAAACCTGTGCTACACCTGCACCATCATTAACCACATAACACAACTTGAATCAATAACAATAGCCATATAAACAAAAACAAATCAAAGTGCACAAACAAAACAGAGACACACTTATTAGCTTCTAGCGAAAATATGCAGGTTGTTATTTTGTGTTGCATAAGATTATGGCTTGCCTCAAGTTTATTCTTAACAGAGTGAGTAGTTGAATGCTGCAAAATCAAATCAAAACACACACAATTAATTAGGGTCTAATGCATGGATGTGTTGCTGACAAAATTGAGAAAACAAAAAAAAATTAATGAAGTTTATTGAGTCAGACCGCCCATAAATCTCGAGCATCAACCACTGCTGATGATTTGAGGCCAATGTCACTCAGTCAGCTCTTATGGTGGCTTTGGAAGATCCTCTGTTCCACAATATTACTGCTATCCTATTGCCACTTAGAGGACCAGCCCAGACCTGGAAACTTAGAAACATTTATTAATATAATGAACTATAAATCAGTTGCAAACATTGTTATAAAATACACACACTTATGATATATGGTGATCAAAAGACTAACCTTGGTTAACAGAAATAACCTCCTTGTTGGTAATCACCTCCAATGTGTCCTTGTCCATGGAACGAATATCACACCAAGGATAAGGGGAGCCTACAGAATCATTGACAAAAAGTATATAGCCATTTAGAGCAGGGTCAACACCAAGTGTATGTGAATTGTCCTTAAATATGATCAATCAAGCACCTTTGCTAAAGCCCAAATGCTGAAGTGGGAGCGGTATTCTTCTGTTGACATTCCTCTGTTGCCCACCTCAAGCATTTCAAGGTCTAAAGATTCAACAACAAAGTAAAAAATCATGAGTTGGTAATATATGGTAGATTGACATGTATATATAGTTGGCTCTAACCATTCCATCCACCCGGTCCAGCAAAAGAAGCCCATTGGTCATTCTGATCAGCATTTGATGTCACACTGCAGAAGCAGAATCATCAATTTTCATGGTTTAACCACTCTCTTTGATTTTGGAAGAATAAAAGAAAACTACCTATCCCAAGTATCTTTGATATCTCCAGTTGTTCTCCAACTGTTTCCAATGTTATGTGCCCATGTTGCAGAGTCTTCCTGGCCCCTGCATATGCACCAATTTTATTTCTTTGACTGTGTCCTGAAGAAACTTGGCATATTCTATTATAGCATTTAGCTTCCTTTTCAAAGCTTCCTACCCAAAAACAAATTAAAGTGACATTAAGCATTCTGCAAGACCACAAATAATCCATTTTCTGTAGATAGCCAAGAGAAAAAGAAGAGTTAGACATTTAAGAATTAATTGACAAATAGAGATTTCAATAATACAACTTAAGCAGTACATCCTTACTTCCAATGACTGTGATGCCACATTTTGAACAACCTGTAATGCCATTGACCAAAAGTTAGATAAAACAGTACCAAATATATATTATAAATTAAATTTCGATCATACTGAATTAACTATCATTCAATTTTGAAGACAATAGCAATCAACTAATTAATCCAGATACAAACTCAAATTGGTTGCAAGTAACATTCAAACTCGAACTTATTGAAAATCTAAATAAAGAAAATGAATCTACATGAAACTAATTGAAATTGTTTGTATTTTACTCCAGCAGTTCCTATACAATTATGAATTCAAATTCTTTGTATCTTTGTTTATGTATTATTCTTTACACGTCATCAGTAACAGAAATCAAACGAAATTAATAGTAAAAGTAGGAACCTGAGGAAAGAAGTTGGAGACATCGAAGCCTTGAGCAATGAGCGAGAAATCACTTAAGAGCCTCGCACTTCTCTAAATCAAATCTGTTGTCAAGTAAAGGCGCGATGTTAACGCTTTCCAGAAAGGCAAATTCAGAAAATACACGGATGAAATTGAGAGGATCCATACTCATGTTAGGCACAATCTCCATTAATTCGTCTTCCGCCGTAAAATAAACCTGGTCATCAACAATTCAAACACCGATTGCAAGTAAAAAACATAGAATTTTTTTTTTTATTTTTTATTTTTTAGAAATCAAAACCTCTTCTGGAGAAAACGGAGAAATGGGAGAATCAGATTGACCAGCCATCCTTGCAAGTATAATCGGTTCGGATTTGAAGCTGGAGTAGACGTAAACGGGCCTTAGAAAGTCATGGAGCCATCTGTGAAAGGTGGAGTCAGAGATTGATATTTCAACGGCAGATAAACACACATAAACAAATAGTCGGGAGATGGCTCCTGGTCTAATTGCATGTCATCGACTACATTCTAAGACCAAATTTTGTAACATTACAATAATTCAAAACCTACCCAATTCTCAGCTTTACTTTTTCTAGCAGAAAATCATAATCAAATCAACAAACTCACTCAGGGAGGAAGAAGAAGTGTTAAGAAATATGAATTTTAGAGATGAGACTAAGAACCGTGCAAGGTTGATATGAACGTTTGGAATACCACTGCCTTCATTAACATCTCTTTAAATCATAGCCTTTAGAATACCAATACAATGCATCAATATCTCATTAAACCTACATATTATGTGTCACTCAACTAAGGTATGCTTAAGGATCCTGCGTGAAAATCTACATAGAGTCCAAATGGCAATCAATAGAGATTGTGAGCTTCAGGATTATATAGATATATAGATATAGATATATCGTAGTTTCATGACCAACTAAAACAAACTATCTGCATTTTTTCTATTTACATTTTTTCCTCACTTGTATTTAATCTCGGTTCCTCTTCACTTTCTACTCACAACATGTTGATGCAAAAATACATCAACTAGAGTGATATGATCTACCTTGAGATGTTAACATTAATGGTTAGTTTTTTGTTATATGGGCAGTACATAGAGCCAGTGTAGGTCGTGCCGTGCCTAAAAATTCAAGGCCCGTCATGCTGTGGGTCATACCATGTCAAGGCCCACAACAATTTGTGCCCTATCATGCCATGTCGGCCCACCAAATTTGAAGGCTCACGACATGGCCCGTTATATATCGTGTTGTGCCTTAGACCGTGCTATGGGTCGGCCCGCATGCTTTGTAAAAATATTTAATTTTAATATTTATAAATTATGGTAATTTTGATTTATTATTAATAATTATTATAAAAATATTTTATATGTTATATTTAGTGACATTTTGTGTTTATATTAATTAAAAAAAATATAATCACTATAAAATATAATAAAATAATGAGACATTGAAATATTAATTGAATTTCAACACTTTTTATTTCTTATAAGTTATAATTATAAATTACAAATACAAACTTAGAAATTAGGATTAAGAATTATTATACATTTTCATTTTTATTAATTTCTAAATTCTTAAAATCTTCAAATATATCTTCAATAACACGATTTTGAAGCTTGAAATCTGCCGCCACCCAATCTTTCATACACATCAATAGCACTTGGATGTAAATTTGATCTTCTCTCATCCAATACACATCCACCTGCACTAAAAGCTTATCTGATGCTACTGTAGAAACTAGAGGCATTAGTAAATCACATGCGATGGCGGAAAGTACAGGATAAGTATTTTGATGTGCTTTCCACCATCGAAGTATATCAAATTGATCATTTTGAATCATAGTTTCAGCCGAATGATCTATGGTTAAATAATTTGTTATTTCACTATATGAAAAGCTTGCACCTACTGGTTGTTTACCTTTAATGATGATAGACCAAATAAGCTCTTTACCTCTAGAGGAACTTGATCTTGATGGTGGTTGTATATTTGTCGTGTTTTCACATTTGAAGTAATAAAGTTCTAATATTTTCTAATGAAATTTTTAAAGGAGTCTCTAGATTTGTTGAAATTTCTTCTATCATAGTATTTACTCCTAATAATTTTACCTGAGGATCCATTACGGTAGCTAAAGCAAACAATATAGGCATTTTTTTCCAATTTTTTTCTAAATTTTATTTCCACCTTTTTTTTTTTTTTTTTTTGCAATATCCCCAAAAACTGCATGATTTCTATATTCTTGAAAAATAAAACTAAACAAGTTGTAGGATAATAAATACCAGAACATTGTTCAGTAGATTTAGTTAAAGGTTCCAAAATATTCATTAAGGAAAAACCAAGTTCCCAATGATTTCTAGTCAATTGATGATCATATTGTTTTGTATTAAAAAATTGTGTAATAGTGTTTTCATATGATTCACAAGATTTTAACATTAAACTATTTTATTTTTTTAATTTTTAATTTTTGATTTTTTAAAACTTTTTTAATTTTTATTTCTTTAGTGCCATGCCATGCCAGCACAAGTGCCTTTTTTAAGGCCCACGACACAGCTCGCATAATCGTGAGTCGTGCCATGCTTTTTTCTGTGCCGTGTCATGCTGTATCGTGTCATGGGCTGACACAGCCCACCGCTGGCTCTAGCAATACATATTTTGATATGGGGGTAGGACAATCTTTTTGGACTTTTTAGGATTGTTTGTACATATCCTTAGATGGTGTACATGGGATAGGCATTTTGTTTTTTTGGAGTTATGCACAAATAGATAGGTACGGATGAAAATGTGGGGTGCATACTATCATTTTTGGTTATGCACACATGATAGTGCATTTTGGACTTTTATTGCTCATCATTTATAAAAATCCATGTATGAACTATTACTTTTATATGCAATGAAGGTATTTGATGTTATTGATCTAGATTTTTATATTGTGTTACTTTTATTTTGTTGATATTGAATGTATAAACCATGTCAATTATAAAGAGCATAAATAATGCTCTTAAATGTTAACCAATTATCTATTAAAGTATTAGTTGCAGAAATAATAGAGCACCTAGACTAATCAATAATACCTTACTAAAATAATTAGTTTCCAAAACTCATATACAATCAGTTACTATATTATTTAGATGCAAAAAATTAATTTTAATAACTAAATAATTAGTTACAAAATGTGAGAAACCAAATTAGGCATACACATTCCCTAACTAAAAACGTAATGCTTTTGCCACTAATTTTTCTCTCATAAAATCAAACATTCTGCAACTAATTTTACCGTAGTAGAAAGTAATTTACTAGATTTGGGTTCAACATTCAATGTCTAAAATTATTGAAATTAACCACTAATTTTTTGTCATTAAAAGATACATTCTTCAACTAATAAAATAGTCACGAAACACTTTTACCAAATTACCCTTGCACATTCAACGCCTAATTTTTTTGGAATTCACCACTAATTTTTTTCTCACTAAAAAATACATTTTCAACTAATTGAATAGTCACGATACACTTTTACCAAATTATCCTTACACATTTAGCATCTAAGTCGGAGGACTATTTCAAATAGCAATTAGTAACTAAATTGTTAGTCACTAAAACAAAACTTTCCGCATCTAACATAATATTTAGTTGCCCATTCTTTCTAGGACAGCGATTCTGCAACTAAATGGCGACTACATAAATTTAGATCCGCAAGATAGTTAGCATCAAAATTGGATGATCTATGTCTAAATTTCCTAGACGATCAATGCCATTTTTCTTGAAGTGTATTTGTATATTGCAAAAAAATATATGCTATGTTACATTAAAGTTTAAGATAAAATAAAATATTTATCTAAAGTTGTTTGGGACAATGATTTATACTTTAGAGTTGTTACCACGTCTTTTAACTTGCGAGTACGTAATAACTTGCTAGCATGGACACCTTCTTGTTGAAGTCAAAATATTTTCAAGCATGTTTAGAGCTTATTGGTATAAAACTTTTTGTATTTTTGTACTATCGTTCTTAGAATTATTTTATTTCTTTTCTTGTTTAATTACAGCAACAACTACTAAAATAATGAATTGAAATCTTAATACATACTACTAAAACATGAATTATAAAATAAGAAATCAAAATAGTAAGTTTTGTAATTACATCTCTATTAAGTTATAACATCCTTATAGTAATAACTTAGTTTGATTCCATCATTATGATTATAGTGAGGTTTTACAGCATTTTCTTTTTCTATTTTTTATCGTTATTAATCCTTTTTTTTTTTTTAACACTCTTAGACGGCTGGGGTATTACATCCATCCTAACAAAAGGCTTTTGCATACTCTCTCACAAGCCTCCTTCATCCCACGGTTATGTTATTTCATCACAAGCCCACAATTTCTTAAGGCTTTGATACTCTTTATCACAAGTCCATCCTTCTTAAGGTTGTCGCACTCCTTATTATGAGACCACCCTTTCTTAAAGCACCAGGATATTACCAAATATCAATCACAAGTAATGGCATGTGACAATGCAACTACCGTATGCAAAAAGGAAGTGTTTTTTTATTTTTTCCAAAGGTTAGCAGACCCAAACCACTTCAATGGGGAAATA